TGGAAGCAGCTGGACTGCGTGCGGATCATGCTTGGTACCTTCTGGGGCCAGTAGACAAGGCCAGTTCCTGTCCCCCATGATCACTCCTCAATGTTACCCCTATTTCTTAAAGATGCCAAACCCTAGATCCTGAGAGAGATGGAGAAGTTGAGGCCTGGGGTGGGGGACAGGCTCATCGGAGGCTGCACAGCCCTGGCCTCCCGGCCTCCAGCTTGCCTTCCACTGCGCCAATGAGCCAGGGGAGCTGAGAGACTTCTGGGATGGTCGCTGGAGGGCTGAGCCCTGCAGGCAAACACCCGAAGGGGGGCAACCGGTGGTTTCTAACAATAGCCTCTGTGCCTATAACAAGCTCGCACCTCGGAGGGAGGGAAGAGGCTGGGCTGGGAGAGCCTTGGGAGGCAGGATGCTGACCTAGTTCACCCAGGGTGGGGCAGAGGCTGGAGTTCTCCAAAGTGGTGGCCTTCACCTGCCCCAGCCCACCTTCCACTCCTCCTGCCACTAACAGGGAATCTCTGACTCGGGGGACAGACTGGGCTGGAGGAGTAAGAGTCAGAGCCTGGGGGATCAGAAGTATAGCATCTCCAAAGCTTCAGCAGGAGATCTTAGGCAAGCTTTGTCCTCTCCCGGAAGCAGGCTCCTCAGCCCCCACCCCGGACTTCCTCTTATTGGTCCTGTCAGATTTGAAAAAGTCCAAAAGAGCAGCTAACTCTCCAAGGAAGACTGGAGCTGGGGGCAGTGTATAAAATGCCTCAGAGAGCATCAGCGCATGCCCGGCAGCTGGGAAAACACACAGGGAAATGGAGGAGAGACAGGGCAGGGCTTTCTCTACTAACTACTCATTCATCAGATCCCTTAGGGACCTGAGGCTCAAAGCATCTTCCTGCTGCTGCCCCACGTCTGGCCAAATCTGGGAGGCCGAAAGAAGCTCCGGAGTCGGGGGCAGGTCATTAAGAATCTAGAAACAGGGTTCCCTTGGGCCAGCTGGGAAACCCCAATCCAATCCCAGGGGCCCAATAGGAGCCCTTGGCTGGACTATGCACCCACAGAAACCAGTGCAAAGCAATTTCCTTCCCAGTTGGTAGGAGAGATAAGGGTGGGAAGGGAGAGTGGTCCCTTCCTGCCCACGAGACTGGGTAGAATGGTAAGTCCTTATGGTTCCTGTGGCCCCTGCCGACCCCAGGGAAAGGCAGGTCCTGAACCTGTGTGACCAGTTCTGGACAGTCCAAAGGGCAGACAGGCCAGAGAGACAAAGAGCACAGGAGCCCTGGGCCTGAGCTTTCAGGATGCAGAAACAACAGATGAGCTTAACTCCTATTCCAGGGTCCACCCTGCCCAGTCAACGGCAGCTCTGCAGAACTCCCACAGCCAAATGCAGAGGCTAGCCTCAGAGAACAAGGTTGGCTCCAGGGAGGATGGGGCCTGGAGACAACCGAGCTGTGGGGTCTGTACAAACAGAAGGTCACAGGGTTCTTGGGGACTCAGGACACTAGGTTGGTCCTGCATAGCCATCTAGGATATGCCTGTCAGGGAATTCTGGGAAACATGCCATTATTCCTTCTCCACACCCGGAGTGTCCTCAAGCAATGTTTCCTCTCAGCCCGAGGGGCTTCAGACATGCCAACGTCTCTCTGCACCTATGTCTCACCAATAAAAACCAAACCAAGTCAACCCCAACTCCTGGTGACCCCATGTGTGTCAGAGTCACACTGTGTTATCTCTGCGTAGACACAAAACTCCAGCCTCTAGGGCATATTAACCATCTGCACCACCTAGAGACTCCAGATGTGATCTTGTAGGATAAGCCCAGAACTGCTCATCACAAGGTTGGTGGTTCAAACCCACCAGCTGCTCCTCGGAAACCCTATACAGGGTCGCTATGAGTTGGAACCGTCTTGACAGCACTTAACAACAAGAGACTCCAGATGACCCACAAGTACCTCAAACTGAACCTGTCAAACAGAACTTCTCACTCAACCCTTTCACCCATCCACTGCCTGCCTTCCCAATCTCAGCTGGGAGTCTCCCCTGTCCCCTTTTAGCTCCAGTGCCCCACACAGGACAGAAACAGGATGAGAATTCAGTGAGGGCCCTGCTGAACTAAGCCAAGCCCATTCACTCGAAGGTACATGTCAGCCAACAGATGGAAAGATGACAAACCGTAGTCATTCTCCCTTCAGGTTGTCCGAGGAACTGGAAAATACATGGAATGAGGAACCAGAGGGTCTACATCAAAAATCCTACTTTTAGGGCAGCGGATCCTCTGGCCCTCAGTTTTTTCATTTGATGTTGTTGTTAAATGTGGTTGAGTCGGTCCTGACTCATAGCAACTCTGTATAGGGTTTCTGAGGAGTGACCTGTGGGTTTGAACCGTCGACCTTACAGATCAAACTGACCTTGCAGGCCAGCGCATTATCCTGCAGTACCACAGGGGTAATAGAGTCTGCCCTTTTTCCTTTGTCAATTAGGTATGAGGAACTAACGAATTAATGGGTAAAAATATTCAAAAAAAAGTAAACATGCTGTAAAAGTATATTGTTGCTGTTGCCTGCTATCAAGTCGGCCTTGAACTCATGGTGACCTCATGTACAACTGAAGAAAACACCGCTCAGTCCTGTGCCATCCCCAGGATGGGGTGGAGATTGAACCGCTATGATCCATAGGGTTTTTCTTTGGGAGTAGGTCTTTCCTCCTACTCCAGCCTAGTCTGGAAGTTCCACTGAAACCTGTTCAGTATCCTAGAACTTTCTAGAACACCCCAGCCTCCATTGGCCGACATCTGGTGGCTGTGCATGGAATGTACACTCTAGGAATCAAACCTGGGCCTCCCTCGTTGAAGGTGAGAATTCTAGAATTATTACGACACCTGGGTACAGAGGGACATTTATGTAACAGCTGTTTTGCATCAGGCTCTGTGCTAAGGCTTAATTGACAAAGCCTCATTTAACCCCCATCAGGACCTTTTAAGGAAGGCACTGCTTGTTCCCATTTTGCTGATAAAGAGACTGAGGTTCAGAGAAGCAAGGTGGCACCAAGGTCACATACCTAGGCAGGGTGGACATGGGATTTCAACCCATGTATTAAAGGTATCAGTCTGCTTGCAAAGCCTGTGAGCATCCTGCTACGCCAGCAGGGACTGCCGCACTGCTAGGAGACAAAAGCACTAACTAGCTAGGTTCTTTCCCAGCTCTGTCACAGGCCTGCTGCGTGACCTTGGACAAGTCATTGCCCCTCTGTCAGCAGAACAATGCAAATACTCCAAGTCAAACAGAATTTCTGCAGCAAAATGATTCTGTAAAGCTGGCGTTGGCATTTCTCCTGCGGTACATGTGCTCTTGCTGTCTCTGGCCTGGATCTGCCGGAGCCCTAACCATCAGTCATGGGTATAGTGTGCCGGGGCACAGGCTGCTAATGGGGGGTCGGGGAGAGTAGGGGGGGATGCTTTTCATATTCTGATTATGGGGACTTCTGTCCAATCAAGCCATGCAGGGGGAAAAACACCCTGGAGAAACTTCCCCAGGTCACAGCCCACTCAACATCCCAACGTGGGCTCACTGAGCAGGTACCTTCAGGCTGGCCTGGCCTACTGCTGCGCTGCCAATGATAGACAGTGCAGGTGGGTGGAAGACACAGACCAAAGCCTAGGTAAGGTCATCCTTCCTCCCACAGACTGACTGCAGGCTGGTTGCCACGAATGATGTAGGTTTGTCCCAGTGTTGGCCCACCCAGTTCTTTTGCAATGATTGGTTTCGTTTCTTCAATCTGTGCTCTGCTCAGAGCCTCTGGGCCCTGGGCTTCTCTGTGCTCTCACTCCCCATAGCTGGGACCTGTGGCCTGCCTGCTCCAGGCTGTATGGAGTGCTGGCACGACAGTGTTAGCTGAGGTCGAGTTGACCCCTGACACACGATGACCCCATGTAGAGTGGGATCAGACCATTGTGCTCCATAGAGTTTTCATTGACTGATTTTTGGATGTAAACCACCAGACAGTTTTTCCTAGACTGTCTCAGTCTACAAGCTCTGCTGAAAACTGTTGAGCATCACAGCAATATGCACGCCTCGGATGATAGCAAGGTGGTCATTGTGCACCGGCCAGGAATCAAACCTGAGTCTCCCAGATGGGAGGCAAGAATGCTACCACTGAACCAGCTTCTTGGTCTTCATTGGGACAGCTCTGGAGTGTGACCTCCACTCTCCCCAGAGCTCTGTAGGACTGAGTCAAAGTCACTTTCTGTGGGACTGTGGTTGGTAAACTACCTTTGCTGGACTTGCGTCCCTTCCCTGCCCCTCTTTCCCACCTCCTTACCAGATTTTCCTGGAAACACTTGAAAAAAAATTTTTCCATGCAAATCCTCATCTCAGAGTCTGCTCCATAACAACCCAACCTAGCATAGTTGCCAAGAAAGTTTACACAAAAATCCAGATTTCTGCTTCTGAGGAATCTGGAGACCTAGCAATCCTGGGCCCACTCCCAATTGGCAAAAGTTAGCTTACCAGTACAGACAGAAGGTGTGGTTTCCAATTTTCCTTGGTCCACCACATCCCTATTGTACCCCAGCTGGTCCTTCGCATCCATTTACATTGTCTGTGGGCTTATGAATTCTTAACCCTGACAACAGAGTGTACTGGTTAACAATGCAGGCTCAGGGGTCAGTTAGCTTAAGTCCGTATTTTAGATCCACCAATTGTGAGACCTTATCTAAATCACTTAATGTTTCTGTCTTTCAATTTCTTCATGAGAAACCTGAGTACTTATATGCATCCATATAGTACTCTCTATGTTTGTTAAGGGAATGAAATGGGATACAGTGTATAAAATGCCTTGTACAGTAGACAGCACACAGTTAGAGGTCATAAAATTACTAATATTTGCCCTCTTGGACCAGGTATGCCTGCTACAATCCGACAGCCCATATCCAACTATCTGAGATTACCTGTCAACCCTTGAAAGATACCCCTTCCCCTATGAAGGTTTAGGTAGATTGGGTGGGTCTGACCACTCACCTCCTCCCACTGGTGAATATAGCGAATGAGTCGGGAGAGACGTAAGAGACGCAGGAGACTGAGGATCTTGGTGAAGCGGACAATGCGCAGAGCCCGGGCAGTCTTGTAGACCTCGGAATCAATGCGTGTCTCCACAATGAGGAAGATGTAGTCCACGGGAATGGAGGAGATGAAATCCACCACAAACCAGCTTTTGAGGTACTTCATCTTAATCCGCTGTGGGTCTAGGATGATCTCTGTGTTGTCCTCCACCACAATCCCTGTGCGGAAGTTGAGGACCAAGTCGATGAGGAAGAACGTGTCTGACACCACATTGAAGACAATCCAGGGTGTGGTGTTTTCATCCTTGAAGAAGGTGATGCCCACAGGAATGATGATCAGGTTTCCCACCATCAGGAGCAGCATGGTCAAGTCCCAGTAAAATCTGTCCAAAGACACAGGGGATCAGTCGCCAGGGGAGTGGGATCATAAGTTAGAGTTAGAGAGAAAGCTCCAAAGGAGAGCAAATGTGTGAGAAGGCTTGGGAGCTTCTGAGATGCTCTGGGAGATTAGACACATCGGTAGAAGGGCAAGATGTGGTGACTAGAAGATACAGGGGAAGACACAGCAGAAGACTTTTTCCCCATTAAAGTTCCCTCTGCCCTGCCATCCCTGATGACGAACCTCCTACTCCCATCCCCATCTCCAATGAGAGGCAGGCTGAAAAGCATACCATGCAACAGCATCCAGATAGTAGTGACCGGCTGTTTTAGCAACAAGACCAGTTTCCTTCACACCACCCTAAGCTCAGGCCAGCCTTCCCCATCCTCTCTGAGGGTCAGTCAAGGCCTGAGACAGGTGGTCAGGAAAGGTGCCTGGGAGGCTGGAGGCTCTGTCACTGACATGTTGTGTGCTGTCAAGCAGGTGTCGTCTTTTCTTTGGGCCTTAGTTTCCCCACTGTACCACAAGGAGTGGAGCTCCAACACACATACACACCTATTATTCTGACCTGGCTTCGCCCACACTGCATTTCTGGTGTTTTCCCTAGACAGATTTACATCCTAACAGAGGCAAGGAGATGGTGACAGCATCAAAGACAGGAAGTATTTCAGGTATCAACCACCCAACGCAATGAAGTGTAAGTAGACCAGGGTTTCGAGCATCATTTCTCCTAAGACCTCAAAGAACCTACATGTCCATCCTGAGGGGTCACAGAGCCTCTGAGAAGTTGTGCAATGTGAGGAGATTTCAAGCCAATTCACTAGGTCAGTATTGGGATGTCTACCTGGTAGCGTAGTGGTTATGAATCGGGCTGCTAATCTCACAGTCAGCAGTTCGAAACTACCAGCGGTTCCGTGGGAGAAAGATGAGGCTTTCTGCTCCCATAAAGATTTACAGCCTCAGAAACCCTGTACAGGATCACTATGAGTCAGAACCGACTCCACGGTACATGACAACAACCACCACCACCTGGCCCAAGGAGCTCTGGTAACATAGCGATTATGAATTGGGCTGCGAACTGCAAGGTCAGCAGTTCAAAACTACCAGCTGTTCTGTGGGAGAAAGAGGAGGCTTTCTGCTCCTGTAAAGACTTACAGCCTCGGAAACCCTGTACAGGGTCGCTATGAGTCAGAACCGACTCCATGGCACATAACCACCACCACCACCTGGCCCTGCAGGGCCCCCTCTGGAGTTTGGAGATAGGACACAGAAAGGTACATTCTTGCTTCTAGAAGGTGTGGTCAACAATTTCCAGGGTCCCTTCCCAGTTACCAGCCACTCCAGGGACAACCAAGGGCCTACCCTGCAGAGTGGTTTCCCTCTGCTATTAATTTAGATAGTTACACAGTAGCAGATACAGATTTTAAGTTGGGAACAAATGAGCATGTCTTCTCCCAAGAGAAATCGCCTTCCATCCATCTCTAATTCTCCACTGCTGGGAGGTCAGGAGGAAGTGGGAGAAAAAACAGACAAGCTTTCCTCTAGTCTCCAGAGGTTCCTACTTCAAATCTAAAGTGCCTTTGCTGAAACCATTCTAGATTTGAAGAAAAAAAAAAAAAATACTTCACAACAAATTGTTTTGTCAGTGAGCCTGAAAATGTCAGAAGTCAAGGAAAGGGCAGGTCCTGCTTCACTGGAGGTGGGCAGGCAGCTGCCCCACATCACACAGCTCTGGGAAAGGTAGCTTCCAGAAAGATGTTGCTGTTGTTACAAAGTGCTGTCAAGTCAACTCCAACTCATAGTGACCCTGTATAGGGTTTCTGAGGAGCAGCCGGTGGGTTTGAACTGCCGACCTTGTAGTTCACAGTCCAGTGCTTATCTTACAGCACCACACCAGGAGATGTTGTTGTTGTTAAGTGCCATCGAGTCGGTTCCGACCCATAGTGACCCTGTATAGGATCTCCAAGGAGCTGCTGGTGAGCTTGAACAGCCAACCTTGAAATCTGGCGCATTAACCCACAGCGCCACACCAGGACTCAGCTCCCTGAAATTCCCTTGAAAGCAAACTCTTCAGAACCAGAAGACAGGACCTCACGGGGTTAAAGCTTCTTATCCTAAAACTGGTTCTAGAAGGTCAACTTCACACCTCCCCTAATTCTACAGTCCACTGCCCTCTTTCCAGCTGCAGTACCTGTATGTCAGCTAGGAGAACCCAGCCTAAATCCCAACAATATTTCCAGCCCATTGCCCAGAGCACAGTGCATCCTGCTTGGAGTCGTGGGCACCAGGAGGATGGTCTCAGCTCCTTTGGGGCACTCTCGAACTGGGTACTTGCTCCACCAAGTCTCGTGCACATTATTCAAAGACAGGGGCGTATACTACCAGCTGCCACGCACAGGTGTCCCCATTCACGATCCAGTGTGCAAACACCCCTTTACACACACTACTTTCATTCCTTTTCATTTAATCTTCCAGGTCAATGGAGAGGCCGTGAAGGGTCATGTCACCCTCTGTACATAAAGCTAATAATACCCCCTGGGCTGTAGGAGTTTCTAAAATTAACAGAGCAGGCACAAGGTGGCTGGGAATGCTGACTCGGGCAGACCCACCACTCAGGCGGATTTCTTCACTCTCCCCAGCTCTAGTTAGCTCAATTACAGACCAAATTCGAGACAGTAATTAACAGAAGAATGTTGGCATTTACTGGTCTTCATAAAACCAAATTACATGAGGCAAAAACACCCATTTCCTTGCATTCTGATTAATCGTTTCAATTGTGAGTTTTCAGATACTCAGGGATATTTCTGGGGTTTGGTCAAGGTTAAAGTGGGAATACCAGAATATTCATTCCCTCAAATCATGAATCCTGGAGCATCCTGGAGCTGGTCCAAAGGCAGCAGAATCCAGTGGTAAGAACCACGGGCTCTGCATCCAGCTGGGGTTTGATTCCTGGTTCCATCATTTCCTAGCAAGTCATTTAATCTCTCTATCTCAGTTTCTTCATCTGCTTAATGGGAATGAGCAGGAGTGATATAAAATTAAATAAATTGTTAATTATAATGTGTTTGGACCTATGCCACCATCCATCAGTTTGTCAAGCTGTGGTGGCTTACATGTTGCTGTGATGTTGGAAGGTAAGCTACTAATATTTTTAAAACAGCAGGGTCACTGTAAACTAAGGACAGACTATGAAGAAAGGCCTGGTAATCTACTTCTGAAAAGCAGTCAATAAAACCCCTATGGATCACAATAGAATATTGTCCAATTTAGTGCTGGAAGATGAGCCTCCTAGGTTGGAAGACAATCAAAACTCAAGAGTGGCCCCAAGTGGACTCAGCATCCTAAGGATCGTGAAGATGGCATAGGACTGGGCAACATGCTGTTCAGTTGGGCACAAGACAGCCACAAATAAGAAAGTTGGCACAATGGAAACTAGCGACAGTAACCTAGCAGGGTTGTGATGATGATTAAATGTATTGTTATTTGTAGTGTGTTTTGACCTATGCCTCACTATAAATGAATAAATAAATAATTCAAGTTAAAAATTCAAACCTTGAATTATAGAAGCAAATCAATAATTCAAGAACAAGTTCACAGGGAAGAGGTGAGGGAGGAAGAGAACTGAAACTCCCAAGAAAAAGCCAAAGCAAAGTGTCCACTGGGGTCAGGGATGCCAAGTGGGCTAGTGGGGGAAAGTCAGGGGTGACAACAGACAACAGAACCTACTTACCTGGGCAAACAGATGGCCTGACCCCAGAAAACTCAGGTCCAGCTAGAGGGCCAAACCTGCAGCCATCACTTCAATCCCAGCTCATTGCTGGACCCTATGTAAGTTTTCTGAGACTAAAACTTAACAGGAGCAGATAGCTTTATCTTCCTCCTACGTAGCATCTGGTGGATTTGAACCACAGCCCTTGTGGTCCACAACCCAATACCTAATCCACTGTGCCACCAAAGATCGTATTTATAGGACAAGTCTCACGAAAAGACAACTTAGGCAGTGATGTAAGAGACTGTTCCATACAGCCCAAGCATCTGAAAAAGGTGGCCTAGAAGAACAAGGCCAGAAAGTGTTCCTGGAGACTATGAGAGGAGTTGGGCTTTGGGAGCTGCCCTTGGAGCAGGGACTACTGTTTCTTATTACTCTTTGCCAGAAAGTTGTGTGGATCTCTGAAAGCACAGCTGCTCCAGTCAAAAATGTCATTCAGCACCATGGACAGCGTCTGCCGAGTCAGCCAGCCCCAATTAGCAGGTCCCAATCCAGGAAGCAATATCCACAAGCAACCTGGGCCCCTGGCCCCTCTCCACTCCCATCCTGGTAGTCAGAACATCTCAGGTTATTCCTTCACGTTCTTGGGCATTTTCACTGGGGTATCCTTGGTGACTGAAAAAGTCTTCACTCAGAAAGAGCCCCAAACACTCCACATCTTTTGATCACTTACTTTCCAAGTAGTGTTTCCTTCAATCCTCCCACCAGAACCAAGATGACTCCTGTTATCTGTGATTTATAGGTGATGCCACTGAGACTCAGGGAGAAGAAGTACCTGCCCGAGACCACAGAGCTAGAGAGAGACAGATTCAAGATTTAGAGCGGTCTGGGAAATACCAGGGTCTCATCTAGGGGTTTTAGTCACTTCACTGGGATGTGGGGAGGCTGATGAGCCTTTCTGGCACCTATGAATCACACTGGGGAGGTAGTTGTCATGGATTGAACTGTGTCCCCCTAAAATATGTGTCAGCTTGGTTGGGCCATGATTCTCAGTGGTTTGGCAGTTATGTGGTGATTCCCCCATGATGTGACCTGATGAGATAAACCAGTAAAAAGATTAAGGATGGGATTAACCACCCCTAATCCCATCCCGACCCTGATCCAATGTAAGACCAATTCCCAGAGGTATGGTATATTCACCTGTTAGCTTGCAAAGATAAAGGAGCAGAGACGGGGGACCTCCTTCCACCAAGAAAGAAAAGCCAAGAGTGGAGTGTGTCTTTCGGGCTTGGGGT